TAGAAAAACTAATTTGAATGAAAGTTTTGAAAATATTTATTTGGAGAAGAAATTGCATTGAAAATTAGAAAATTAGGAAATTTTGGAAATTGGGATTAAGAGAAGTTTGTGGAAATATTTATGATTGAGATAATTTATTTGGAGAAGAAGTTGCTTTGAGAATTAGAAAAATTAATTTGAATGAAAATTTTGGAAATATTTATTTAGAGAAGAAGTTGCTTTGAGAGTTAGAAAAACTATTTGAAAATTTTGGAAATTGGAATTAAGGGAAGGAAAAGTTTGAAAGTATTTATAATTGAGATAATTTATTTGAAGAAGAAATTGCTTTGAGAGTTAGTAGAAAAACTAATTTGAATGAAAATTTTGAAAATATTTATTTGGAGAAGAAGTTGTTTTCAGAGTTTTTAGAAAAACTAATTTGAAAATTTTAGAAATTGGAATTAAGGGAAGGAGAAGTTTGGAAGTATTTATGATTGAAAAGTAATTTGAAAATTTATTTGGGAATTATTCTAGAATAGATCGTGTCTGCTCTAAAATTATTGGAACATGGTTGAATCGTTTGAGGGGAAAAAAATTGAATAAAATATAATTTATATCCATGTATAAAAGAATAATTTGTTAATTCAAGTATAAACGCGCTTGCGAAATATAACGATATTTTCGTACTCGCCACTATGCAATTAACACATGAAATTTTGTCGAGCTCGTACATATTTTACGTCCAATTTCATACAATTCCAAAACTGTATCAAAATTAGAAATTCATTTCAAACGCCTGTGAAATAACTGAAATATCCACCATGTTACACGTACTAATGGAATGGTCGTGACCACAACTGTTAAATTCAGTCGAATTACATTTTTAACCAAATTTCCGATTAAATATAAAAAAAAAAAACTTGAAATCATGTTTAATCAATTTTTCTTCCACATCGACATTAGCGTTCAAGCTTTAGATTAAATGTCCGGTTAAAAAATTTTCAATGATATTCCCCCACGAATTAAATAAAAGAATAGCATTATAACGAGAATGTATCGATCGATCTTCTTCGAGCCGAGTTTCGAGTTTCATCGAGGCGCAAAACTTGCCAAGTTCCAACACATATTAATACAATTTATACTCAAGTTTGCTTCGACTTTGCTGGCTGGAACGGTTTTAATTATTTATAACATTATCCTAAATTTCGCTTGCCAGACGAAGCTGATTTTAGTCGAATTTTATTCCTTTTTTTTGAATCAACAATCAACTACCGATTCTTCTATTAAATTCTGCAGGAATACGATAAAATTAAGGGAGATGTTCGCAAATTGTTGAAAATTTAATGGTAATTTTATGGATTCGAATAAGAGAAATAGAAAAATTGTTGCGATTTTTTCTCTCGAAGTATTTCATATTTAATTTTTTAACACGTAATTTTTTCATTCTATCTTCTTCTTAAACAATTAAACAATTATCATTAAGAGTGAAATAACAAACACGCGCGTCAAAAATTATCGACTTGCTTTTACTAATTTTCGATAAATATATATTGAATATGATTGGATATTTTTGAGACTAATTTCAATAGTTTTTCAATTGAATTCGATCGAATGAAAGAAAATTGAAACGCATTACAAAATTGCACGTTAATTTGATATTTGATTGACAAATTTTAGGCTGACGCAATATGCAAAAAATATACGCGATTATAAATATCAATTCTCATAAAACTATCTCTTTAAACTATCGCTTTCATGAAACGAATATGTTCACTCCATGCTAGAAATTGGAGATTTTAGTTGCTTGAGAGTGTTGGTCACGCTTTCGTGTAACGCTGAAATTAAATAAGACTTTCGACGTAAAATAAATATGTATGTGTCTCAAGTGATTAGGTCAAATACTTATAGCTTCAAATACGTGTAAATAAATTAAAATAAATTTAGAAAATAAAAGATAATCTCTAGAAACATATATATTCGTGAATATATATATATATTTGCATATATATATATATATATATACATTAAACCACTAATAGAAATACAATGTTAAATATACATATATACGTTTTTTTACGTCATTAAATTTCGTTCGTGTTACAAATTTTACTGCTTTCTTCCACTGAATTAATAAAAAAAAATTTGTATACAAAAGCAAATTAATAACGATGTAAGAATTTATATCCAAAATAGAATTCTTATATTCCTTTATTATCCTTTCCTACAAATTTTTGTGCAAAAACATGCATACATCGACTAACACGGCCTCTACATGTTTAAGCTATCTAATAATAAAACCTGTGATGTACCCTTACTGATAAATCTCTTTTTTCTTCTTCTCGAGTATATCGATTAAAAATAAATAATTTTTTAACTAAGAAACTAGGCGAAAAATCGTTAAAAAAAGACACGTTGTTATTATTTTTATAATGGATCGATATCATTTTCTTCATCGAATAAAAAATCGACCGAGAGATAATAATCGAAATACAAATATTCTTACATTTCGAGCAGATTTAAATAATTTTTACGATCGAAAAAATCGTAAATCTCTAGAGAAGTATGAACATACATACATTTACGTTCTAAGTTTGATGTATCACTCTTAACTCACCCCATTATTCACCTCTGACCGTCATAAATACGTCTAAAAAAAATTTTTTTCAAAAAAAATTAAGAAAAGAAATTTCAGCAATAATTCCATTAATAGATCTTAAACCTTCCATCATCTTTCTTTACAGCCTCGCGATGAGAAAAAAAATCGTAAAAAGAAAAAAAAAATACCCCCTATACAATGTACACAAAAGGAGAGCTTCCAACACGGCAAACATAATCCCGTAAAAGTCCCACGTACCGAACACCCCTCCACTCCAAGAAGCAACTTCCAGTTCCCTAGTTCCAAACAACCCTAAGTCCTCGAATCTCTCTGCTCCAGGTCAGCCAAGCAGGCTGCTGCCGCCGTGAAAATATCTCGGCCGAGTCTCAGATCGATACTTTTTCAACCGAACATATTGGCGAGGCACCACGTGCGAGGCTATTGGCTCCACACGAGAAGAGGTCGTCGCACAGTGGTGCCTCTTCTGAAAAATCTGTGATGCCAAGATTTTATATAAAATTTCATCCATTTTGATTTTTTCCTGAAAATGCCGTTTATTCTAATATTTTCTCACATGTTCGAATTCGAATAAAAATGCAAAATTCAAAATAGAGAATTTTCCGTCGTTACCATAAACGTCGTTCTTATGCTAATTCTTATGAAAATTCATAATTTTCCAAATTGTCCAAATTTTTTCGTAATTTAAATATGGTGAATTAAATATGATCTCGAGGCGTGGACTAGGAAAAATCTGCCGGTTACTTGCAAAAATTTGGGGAAATTTATCGAAAAAAGACATTATTGTGCCTCTTCTCTCACCCTGTTATTTGTTATGTACTATGACCACAGACTATATGTCCCTTTATAGTCGACGAGTACCATTATTCCGCCCACTGCGAGATATCGCGGATATCGCGGCCTAACAACGATTTAATGGGTCAAAACAGAGACGATCGTTCCGGCAATTCCCGAGATAATTCGCTCTAATTAACGTCGATATCGCGACCGATCGAATGGGCTAATGGACCGATGAAATTTCTGAATGAACGGACAGAGAAAGGAAATTGTGAGAAAGGTTGGACTGGAATTGCATGTTTGAAGAATTTTTAGTCCCGTCTAGTTGTTGGGATTGTAAACGTATGTGAAATTTGATTCCTTGGACTGACTGTAGCTGTTGAAATAATATATAAATAAGATTCGCTAATTGGATATCTAATGCAACAGTCAGCAGAGTGTATAATAGTACTGACATAATTGTTCGAATAACCGTATAATAATAAAATAAATGTATAATAATATAAATATTTGAATTCTATATAATATTCTATATATAATATAATAGCAAAGAGAAAAGTTTTGAATAAATGAATTAATGTGTAAATGTATCTGGAAATATCTTCGATAAAATGAAAAAAAATTGCAATACTATTTTATACCGTATTATAATCATTTTCATAACATAAAAATTTATCGGAAATACTAATTTGTCTTAGTGACGCAAAAAATATGTGTACTTAAGATAACAGCAACATTAGTAATTCTAATTGTACAGATAATAACGATATAGTATATTTACATTCTTGAATAATATATCAATTATTTTAATCTAACCTTCGATAAAAGAAAAAAAATCAAAATATATAAAAATATTTACGATATTAAATTTTCATCAACAATTTTACATTCAACTTTAAATTACATCACAAGTTACGCTTCCGCAAAATATCCGCTTTCTAAGCGCCATTCTTACGCAAACAAACGCAACAATAGAAATCCTTTGTATGGATGGCAACGTTGCGATAATAATAAAATTCAAACATGTGGAAAAAGATGTCTACTTTTGCATAAAATTCATCCACGAGTTCTAAAAAAAGAAATGAAATCGATGGAAAAATACAGGAAGAACAAACGAATTCACAAAACTCGTTTCCATACAGGCGGTGCCATGAAACGTCGAAAAGGTTTTGGCGCGTAATGGAATGCGCGTGTCTACCATGAATCTCGGCGCGCAACGTAAACAGAGACTCGCACAAATATTTTGATTTCGCAGTTCGACACCAGTTATCGTGACCTAGACATCTACGATTAGCACGAATATTACGAACGTGAACGTGAAATAAATTTTCTTGAAATACGAGAGAGAAAAAAATACGACGAAATCATCGAATGCGACGAAATAATTAAAGTAATAAAAGGAGAAGCATTTCAAGTTTGAACGGAGCATCGGGTGAACAGGCTTTGGACATGCGCCCTTGAATCTCGCGACCGACCGGTGGGGTATGTATGTACACATTGACTTTGGAGCACGCGCGCACGAGGAAACGTCGCCTCGACTCCGATCGGCCGAAAGCACCTTTATTCGTCGCGTAGGGGCGCAGCATGCGTCTACGACAACCGGCTTTGATAACAAACATTGTATACTAACCGTGGGAACGGTAGGACGTGGTCCACAGACGAAGGAAGATCAGATCGTATCCAAAGAAAAAACCGTAGTGCTCCCTGAGAAAGACCGGCGATGTTGTAATTATCGTACACACACACGTGAATATCCTTGGCACAAAGCACACAAACGAGAGGCACACAGGTTAGAATATATTTCCTTATCTCTTTTGTTTCACGATGCGTTGCGACGCCCGCGAATATTATACCGGCGATCGGTGATGGTGTGTCACTTGGAAAAACAGAGATCGATGATTTCCGCGCACGCACTACGCGGCAAGTGAAGTGAACGAACGCGCGAACGCCGCGTGAATATCGAATCGAAGACAACGTCACACGGATGAGAGCAGGAGGACGCAGCCGCTGCTTGGTTCGGTTGTCACAGAGAGCGGTTCGCGAAAACGCTTTTAGAGGTTAGGAGATGGCGCGTCGAGAATCGGTCTGCGGATCACGCTGGCCGGCAGCTTCGGCAACTTCCGGCGAGATCGAGCCTCTTTCTTCCGGTTCACCCGCGTGACGCTTAAAAAAAAATGCCGTGACGAGCGACGTCAGCCGTTTCACACTGAGCTCGTGTTACACACTGGAAACTAGCAAGCCGGGCACGAGCGCACACGCCGCGCGAATCGCGTACCACACGAAAAACAAATGACAAGCGACAGACAAGAAGAAATAGTAAGAGGTAGGAAACAAAAAAAAAAGCTGCGATAACGCGGAAAACTAGTTGCGAGGATGAAACGTCGCGCGAACACGAAAACTGCGCGTAATAGATCCGGCTAAGAGTTGTAGGCACGCCACGAGTAGAGGTAGGCGACGCTAAAACTTCGCCACGAGTCATGGCACGCCACGAGAGGAGCCGTGGGAAGAGGGGGGTAGAGCGAGACGACGAATCTAGAGGGGGAAGGAGAAGGTAGACGAGGGAACCGAAGGGAGGACGATGCCGACCACTCGACTCTTGGCTGCACGAGGGTATAGAGAGGTCAGGGGGGAGAATATGTCGACTCGCCGGAGGGACGTGGGGTGATTGAAGCGACTAGGTTGGAGGGGAGAAGCCGGGTAGGGGCGGTAGAGGATCGAGGGAGGGGAAACTCGCAGCCGGCAACAGCCGACTCCGATTCGACTCAACTCCGTTCTTCTTCTTCTCGTTCTTTCTCACTCTGGCACCCTTTCTCCGTCTCTCACCAACGTACCGTGTGTATTGGTGTATCGGCACATGATTCAAACCTCTTCGTGCACTCTTCGCATACACCGACGCACGTATACAGGGTGGTGTCTTTTGATTCGGAGAAGAGAACTCGAAGACCGGTAATGTAGTTTCGCATACAAGGAATTGAATGTTATATACGCAAGGTATTATTCGATTATTGTTGTCTGATTAGTAGGAGCCGGCGCGCGGTTACCAAGAGGCGACGTGACGCCCTAACCTGCGACTTTGGCTATGGATTTCTGGTGTGGTTACCATACTCCAATTTCACGATCATTTTGCGACAGTGCGGCATACTCGTAAAAATCGATATGCATACATATTGTATGTATACATATTACCGTGTATTGAAATTACAGTTTAACGTATCTTTTGTTCCTATTACTTCCATGACGAATTCAACGCAATTTTTTATTACAACGAATTATTTATTAGTCTTATGACAATGAATTATTTATAAATGACCGTTTAATTCACATAATCCTTCAACACGTTCCAGCATACCAATAGAATACGCATGCCTACATACATTTTGTGACTACATAGCCATCAGATGAAGGACGACAATAATTTTTTTATCAAATCTGGACACACACGACCAGAAAAAACTAACAAAAGAAAACCAAAATAATTCCTGGAAATTTCACTATTTGAATAACTGTTTATATAGCGAAGCCAACGATCCGACTAATCCATACGCAAATACGATGTACAAACTCGTGTAGAGGAGTGAATCCGTTTCCGTTCGAAGACACCCGATGTATGCACGTGCACACGCTCGCATAGGCGAAAAGAATACGTGGCTGGGCAAGGTGAGGAACCGAGAGGGCACGACGAGGGCCCTGAGACAGAGTGGTGCGAGCGACAAGGATGGGATGACGCCTATGAAAAAGGACAAGGGGCGCGGTGGGAGGATCGGGGGGACTAGCGGGAGGGAAACGAACGGGAGACCTTGCACAGCGTGGCTCGGAGCCGCGTAGAAAACGCCGCTTTGTGTTGGGGTAGCCTGTGCATAAGAGAGGAAGTACAGGTTTAAAGGAAAAGAAGGCCCTCGTGCGTCTCCGCTGCCGGCGATTCGCGTGCGTAAAGGCCTGTTCACACGGCAATTCTCCGTTCTTGCTCTGTGGAATATCCACTCCAATTGGGCTGAGTCGTGATATTCCGCGCCCGTTCTTTTCTCATCGTGTCGGAACCGTTTCTCACGGAACTGTGTAGGTTACTGACTAACGATGAACAAATTGGCGCGGGAAAAAAAGATTTTCGAAAGGAATTCATATTCAAAGTTTCAAATTTTCTTTTCGTTTCTTAATTTTACGTATTTGAAAAAGATGAAAATTATATTATATTATATATAATGAAAATGATATTGCTTCTTATTCGTTGATATAGCTATAACGTCGTTCCATTGTGAACATTGTGAATTATTATAATATTATAACAATGCGAATATTTTCTATATACAAAATTTATTTACAATTTGAATTTTTGAGATAGAGATTTTGATGGATAATATTTCTAATTATTACAATATTCGAGTTATTAAAATTTATAAAAAAAAAAATAAGTTTCTATTTCAATGAAAAATATTTAAAGAAATTCATTTTAGATTAGATTAGAAAATTAAATGATCGTTGCATAAAAAATTTCGGTAGTTTTATTTTTAGAGAATTTTTAGAGAAAAAATCGCGCAAATCGAGTGTTATTTATAAATTGAATACACACGTTTCGAATATTTTTTGCGAGGCCAATTTTTTCCCGTGCATATTTGAAAGCAGCCCGCACTACGTGGAATGTCGATCGAGTTCGCTGAATACTTCGCAAAAACATTGCGAGAAATCAAATCTTTAACCTTCGATTATAAATAACTTAGAAACAAATAGAGTATGAGCACACGGATAAAAATTTATAGAATAATTTATTTACAAATATACGCACGTAGAATAAAAATGCAAACAGAACAATTTTTTTAAATTAATTTAAAATATCTTTCTCCTTATGAATAACATGATAATTTATTCTTACGTCCGATTAATAATCAATCTCCTAAAAAAATATGAACTATCAACTCGCATTCGTGTAATATATTTATAAAAAATTAATATATATTATTATTCATACATACAATAACTAGCAGAATCTAGTCATAAACAATACTATGTGATTTATGTGTAATATTATATTACCTTGCAAGTGATGAAATCGAATCATTTATAAGTCCCAACCCTTGCCAACAGATGGTAACAGTGTAAACGAGGCTTAAGCCGCGAAACGAAAAAAGAAGCGACGCGTTACGGGGCACCGCGTAAGAAAACTGCATCGAACGATATAAAATAAAAGACTGGAACCACTGTCCCTGACGTTTCTTGGAATCCTCGAACAGGCTCTTCCTGTCGCGGGACGTTGAACACGCGATCTATCAACCGATTAATATATACCATATACTCGAAAATACTCATTCTTCGTTAGAATTGTGCGATGTGGGTTATATAAAACCCACCGTGCGACACCAATGTTACGTAAGATCGAACGCAAAATAGTAGTAGTCTGCTAACGACAGCCTATATATAAACATTCGAATTACGTAAAACAATCTTTTGTTTAATAACAATAAATTTATGTAACTGGGAATATAAAGTTTACGATGTTTCGTTTGATTCGCGGGATAGGGAAGAACGAGACAAAGAAGTTTCGTGAAGAGGGCGCGTCGATCGACGGTTACAGCCCTGCCAAACGTGCCTGCATGGGAACGTACCCATAGGATCCTGCCTGTCCGCCGCGTGCACAAAGGACGAGCCATCTTTTACATGTAAACTCGTGCCAAGGGGGATCGTATTTGCGCGCACACCACCGAACAGGTTTCTCCATGTCCTCTTGCGCGTGATTGTCTTCGAAACGTTCTAAATTAGGAGAAGTATACGAGGTGATTTGTAAAAAAAAAAGAAAAAAAGAAAGGACATACAAGAAATAGATATTGAAGATTTTGAAAATAGTATCGTGAATATAAGTTTTCGTAATATGGAATGGAAGTATAATTTTGTGAATTGGAGGAAATATTGTTAGAAATGTTTCTATTAGGAAATTCATGAAATATTGCGGGAAGAATAAATAATCACGAAATGATAAATATTTCATAATTGTCGTTAAAAATAATTAATGTAAAAAAAAAAAACGATTTAATGAACGATTTAATTTTTGAAGTTAAAATTGAGATTTTAATATTTCAATTTTTATGGATTATGTAAAGATGTAAAGTAATGGTGGAGATTATTACATAATATTAATAATTTCTCGATTAAATTGCATTAACGCGTAATTGATTGCAAGTATAAATTACAAATTTAATCACAAATTAAAAAACATCAATACTTTCAATATTTTCAAACAATTGATATTAAAATTGTTAAATTTTAATCGAATAACATCTATCATACTAATGATAAAATTTTCATGAGGTTTTAAATTAAATTCATCGGGCATTATTTGCAAATTAATAACCAATGCCCAATCATCTGCAAATATTTATACGGGACCAATATTTTAAATAATATATTACACATAATAATTCAATAACTGACAAAAATAGCTCCTCTCGCCCCAAGGTTTCCCTCCCAAAATTTTTGACCCCAATTCTCTATTACAGAACAAACAATTCTGAAATAGTATTCACGTTTCACTAGACGCGTGCACGACGTCGTAATAGCGTTACGTTAATTTAACGATCAACACCAACGATGGAGAAAAGTTTAATTAAGCTGGAATCCCAGCGTGCCTCGTGCCAGCCTTTAATTACCGATAAATTGGTAACATTATTACGGAGCAACCGGTCGATTGCTCGTTTTCTTTTTTTTTTTTTCTTTTTCCATCGATATCACGAAATGCGGCGGATAATTCGTTTACGAGACGAAAGAATCGTGCAAACTCGCCTTTTTTACGCCCAATGAGGACACGAATAATACATGTACCGATGAATTATCATTCCATTTGCTGGACGTGTTCCAAAATACGCGTTACCGATCCGACACCACCATTATATCGCGCGACCACCACAAAGCCTTGCTCATTCACGATCAGACGGTTCATTGAGATCTTACGCTGCTAAAACTCTGCAAATGGATTCATTTCCGTCCGAAGACATTTCTATTTCGAAAGGAATAGAAGATGCGGTTATTTCTTAAACAGAACTCTTTGCTCATTCGTCTTCGTTTCAACTCGAAGAAAAATTTGTTTCAACGAACTTGATTATCGGATTTATTTACGTATGTCGTATTTTTGTCAATCTATTGCTCTTTGATAGATAAGTGATATTTTTTATTTTTCTCGAATTTTTATCGATCGTGTCTAAATTTATTTTAATAATATTCTAGACTCTGAAAAATAAATTTTGAGATCACTCACGGTTTTTTTATCGAAATTTTGGGCAAAAATTGTTTTCAAAAAAAGTTTTTTAAAAAATAAATGCACTAAAGGTAAATATTTGGTAAATAGGTGTATGAATAATTATTTTGCAATGTGAAATTTTGTAATTTAATTTGCTTAATTGCGAATGTATATTTTATATTTATTACGTCCAATGTAATTACCAAATTGAAACGAATTTGCATAGATTTATAACATTTGATTACCGTATGAATATTATCGTACGTATAATTTATCTCAA